CTTTTTGTAGAAATAAAGGATTTCTCATTAAAAAAACACACATTTAAAGGTGGTATACATTCATATCATATCATATTATCATCAGCAAACAAAGCAAAATTATGATAAAATTATTATTATAAAGCATATTCGAATGTACAATTTTCCGGGAGTAGAAATTAGATTTAAAAAATTTTTTTCTATGATAAAACAAAGGACACTTACACATTGTTCGTCACACGAAAAACATGAAAAGATGTTCGCAAATTGACTAACTATTTGGTAGATGCTAATCAATTTATTGCAGAAAAAAGAAAAAAGCATGGTATAAATCATCGATAAAAAAGAAAAAAGGAAATTGGAAATGTATTGCTCACAAAACGTAAAATTTTTTTCAAGAAAGTTTTGAAAAAGCGAAGAGTTTAAAATTTTGAGAATCTAAAAATTTTGGCAGTTAACAAATTTTTAATAGCAGGAATAAAATTTTTTAAAAATTTAAAATTTAGTAGAATTTGATATTGTTGAAATACTCTATCGATGACATATATGTTTTTCGGGCTAAACGATATCAAATTTAGAATTAAAAATTCAATGAATCAAATGTAAGGAATAGGATGGAGCAGAATTAAAATTAAAATGATGCCATCAACGAAATTATGTCATTCCCGACAGCTGTGATTGATCAATGCATGGTTGGATTTAGAATATTGTAAAAGAAGAACCGGCATAGATTTTAGCTTTGTTACTTTAAAATAAGGAATTTCGGGAGTGAGAAAGAGGATGAAATCTAGAGTCGGTCGAGGGAAATCTCCGCCTCTTCCGGATATTCCAGTTCCCAGATACGTTTCAGATGTTTGCCCTTCACGTCACGTGGTGCACCGAATCCAGTCATACCCTGAAATAAAATTATTGTTAGAATATTTCGTCATTTTTCCCTTATACCATTTCTAAAATAAAATGCAACAATCTAATGATGAATTTTAAAAATTCTTCGGAACAATTTTTTTGTCCCCATCACTGATATATGAATTTAATTTTAAATTTACTTTCTGAGAATCGCCTCTATTCCAACCAGCTTGTGATGGAATTATCGTTTCCGATTTCTTCATATCCTCATAAGGCAATTCACCGGCTTCTGCTTCATAGGTAGTATTACGTGGTGTACCAAAACCAGTCATACCTTGTTGAGATGCAAATCTTAAAAAATAAAACTTAATATCTTAAGCTTTTTTTATATCTTCCAATCCAGTAATAAAAATTATCATTTTCCAACTTATATGATAACTTCTGAATCAATTACTGTTCGAGAAATTCATAATTGTTAAACTTACCGGTTTGTACCCGATTGTAAACGAACCATTCCTTGACTTTTACGATTCTGCCACGAGATTGATGGATCCAACACCTGAAAATTTTTCCGCTTAATTCCAAAACATGTTGTCAAATAATTTATAATCAGATAAATGGTAGAAAAATGAAATACCTCCCAGCGTGGTTGTCCGAAACCAGTCATACCCTTCTGAGAAGCATATTTATTGCTACCCATTTGACTGGGAATTGTGGTGGAATCGATACTACTCTCCGGATCATATTCAGGATGAGCCGAATCTCGAATTTTCGTCGTTTCACGTCGTGCTGTGCCAAATCCGGTCATTCCCTAAAAAAATTGCTGTAATTTCCTATTTTTCAGTATGAAAAGAAAAAAACTTTCTCAAAGTTTAGTAACAAAATATCAAATTGTTTTGTCAAAACTTTGCACCATAAAAATATTAACGATCAGTGAAAGGAATGAATTAGTTGACAATTTTATGGTACTTCGAAACTTGTGATCAATCGGTGAAACTAATTTTGAAGTATCACTTAACCATAATTATGCTCACATTAAGCGTTATCAGTCGTACTGAGATTTCAAAAGAGAATGATAAAAAATTACCTTCTGCGAAGCAAACTTATTGGTACCGGCTTGAAGTGGAATTTCGGATTGATCGGGATGTTCATGATCGTATTCCGGATGTCTCGTGTCTTTCATTTTTGTCGTTTCACGTCGAGCTGTACCAAAACCGGTCATACCCTACAAGCATTAATATTTAAAAAAAAAATGTTCTCATTGGCCAAAAATACTTCGATAAACAAAATTTGTTTGGAAATAATTTCCCAACCTTTTCATTTTCAGGTAAATTATTATTGAGTAAATTACCTTTTGTGAATCATATTTGTTGGTACCCGCTTGTAAACGAACAATACCATCGCTGAGACGAATCTTTTCCTCGTCAAGTGGCTGAATGTTAAAATTTGGGATAATTTAATTAAATTTAACAAAATCCTGCTACATCAGAAAATTAAATGAAAGTATGAAGCTGAATGTATGAGTGGAAGAAACAAGATGAAAGACCTGTAGATCTGATGGTGCCTGATTTACATGAACACCTTCTCGACAAACATCACGACCTGTACCGAAACCGGTCATACCTCGTTGTGAATCGAATTTGTTTGTACCGGATTGCAAACGAACCTCACCATGGGTTCTCATCAGAATATCTTCCGGTATCTCCTGTCAATAAATTTCTTTTTCCATTTCAAATACATCTATATATAATGACATTTTTAATGAGATTTTTAAAAAGAAATCTAATTCACAATTCTTTTAACTGCCATAGTTTTTTAACAATCTCAACATTTAAATTAAAAGGAACATACCGCAAGGTTTTCAGATTTCACTTTAGTTTGAGTATTTCTTGGTGTTCCAAAATTGGTCATTAACTTTTGTGAATCACCTTTGTTCCACCCAGCTTGGGATGGAATAATACCTGAAAATCATTTTAAAACTTAATGGTTGACATTTAAAAGAATTTGAACAGTATTAAAAAAATCTCTCCCTTCAGTATGAAAATACCAAATGATGATATAGAATTAATTGATGATGCAAGAGTTTAAATTTGCATGTAAAGTGAATGGCAAGCTGAGATCGAAGTTCAGCTTGTATATGATTGATCAAAAAGCATCACACTTGAATGGTCCATCTATCTTCGAGTAACAATATTTCGTAAAAATAAAATAGTATATTAACGAAAGATGGAAATGTAACAAATTCTAAATTTAAGATCCCTTAAAAGAATATGAACATTTAGAATAAGTTAATGCTGAATGTTGTATTTACACAAACATTCATAAAACAGTCACTTTATCGATCTTTTGCCTTAAGTAAACATTGAGAGTAAGTAATTGAACTAAACAATATTTCTATTTATATTACTTACATATCTGTCCTATAAATAATTAAAATAAAAATAACATAATCAAAAGAGAACGCTGTTATTTTTTTCCAACAATTTATTACAATTAGTTTGTTGAATTAACTAATTGTATTGCGAAGAAATAAATTACCATCAGTTTGACGCAATTGAGCCAGTGTCCATCGGCCAATTCTTTTGGGCTGTCCTTGCCCTGCAACTCGAGTTTCCATTGTTGCATTTGGCTGCACTTCATCTGCAAATAATATTTGTACACATCAGATTTCCCTTCTTTTTTTCTTTTTGATCAAAAATTCTCATTGATTTAAACTATTTTTAAAAAATCTTTTTAAATCAACAAATGATTACTTGCAAATTTAATGACATAAATAATTCTGTAATTCAGTTGAACAATGAAAGTAAATAAAAATAATTATCGCGGAGTGAATGTTAAAAATGCAAATTAGGCAATGAAAACAGGAAAGGAATTTCAAACAACGAACAGAAATGAAATGGTCACTGAATTGTTTCACATACAAAAATTTCATTCTTCTCCATCAAAAAAAGCAAAGGAAAGCGAAAAAAGCGAAGTGAGAAAGCAAGGAAACGATGATAAAATGTAGAAAATGTTGGTTGCGAGTATGAAATCAACTGGGTAATGTGAGGGCAAATGTCACATCATTATCATTTGGCATTTCAATAATCGAAATTCCTTCCCGACCTCCTCTTTTTTCACTTTAACCGTAACAGTCACAATTAGAATTGTCAAAAAAGTAATTAGTGTTATTGTATTTTTTGTTTCCTTTTTATTTTTAATAATAAATAAATGTTAAATTTTGTTATTAATTGACGGAGTTAAAAAATGAAAGATAAATAAATATCAAAAAAGGTAAATAAATATCAAAAATATTTGATGCTATAAATACAATGCTATCATTGCTATTCTTAAATGTTACCTTTAAATCATTCAGGTCACCTGGAATATGAAAGGACTTGCATATGCGAGTGATTTACTTTTTTCTAACAATTATATCATTTTTGAATAAGTGTTATTGAAGTGATTAGAAATTACGGTATTTTATCACATTGATATCATTTTGTTGCCAAAGATCATTCAATTTCTATTAGCTAATTACAATTACTTTCAATTTCTATCTGCTATATATAATCTAAAAAGCACAAACATAAACAGACATAGAAACATATGCTTATCATCAGAAATTATCATTTAGTTATTCCTTGTGTTGCCAAGACGATTGAGGCTCTGTCTCAGCAATCTTTGGTAGAAATTATTAAGGAACATTTTAAAATAAAAGAACTAACGAAATAGCAAAAATTCATGGAACTAATTCGATCACATACGGCAGAATTACAAATCTCTCAGACAGAAGTATACCTTTTATTTTTTTAATCTTCCATCCCAAATATCTAAACAGATTTATATTTTATCTGTCAACTTAATTAATATTTAAAATTTATTTTTAAGTTCAGAGGAATTAAATTCGTTATTATCTATAATTTTCAATGAATTCTTCCAGAAAAATGTCAGGAAGAGAAATATGATTCAAAATTATTTTTTCAGAAAAAAATGAAAGGGCAAAAGTGTAAATACTGATCATAATGTTGAAAGGAATATACAAAGAAATAAATATTTAAATTAGTAAGGAAATTACCAAGAAATTACTTTGAAATTTTTGAACATTAGAAACTTGACCAATTTTCAAACGATTTTTTTGAGTATTTTCTTTACTGACAGTAATAACATTCGCTTCATGACCATTCATCTGTCGATCTGAATGTTTTTTCATAAAAGAGGTCAAAGCAAAAGAAGAAGTGGTGCTGGGTAAGATTTGTTTCGTACCACTAATGAATTAATGAACTTTTCTTCTCCTTTGTTCCTACGTTGTTGAGTAGGATATCGATGTGACAATTATTTTCAGTCTTCTCTTTGTCACTGCTGCTTTCATACGACAACTCACAGACGACACCAATTTTATTATCGTTACTTCCCACTTCTTCCAAAAATTTAGAATCAAATTGAAGCCTTTCCTGTTTCTGTGAATCAATTTTCAAATGTTCTATTTGCTGTAAGCTTTCCATTAATAAGGTAATCCTCCTTCTTCCAGTTTCTGTTTCTATTTTCGTTTTCTTATCATTCTTCATGTCATTTGGAAAATTTTGAAATTGGAAATTTCGTTTTTTTACAAAGTCGTTTGAAGTATTTGCGATTGCAAAATGATATTTGCATTTTCGTCACATCTTTTATTAACGGAAGCATTTCGAAATTTTCGGTATCTCGTTTTTTCCTTTTGTGTTTGCTGATTTTCTATTTTTACTTCTGGTTTGCTCTGATAATATGGTTGTGATGTTGTCGAACATCGATTTGTGGTTTTGTTTGTGTCAGTGAACTGTGTTCATTATCAGAACAGTCGCAGTAATTACTTGGATGATATTTAAGTTCTTCCATGTCGGGACTTATTATTACTCGTTTAATGAATCCAAGCGTGAAATATCCGAAAAAAAAATTCGATCATGCGATTATTTCTAACTGTATTAGTGTGAGAAGAATCGTGCCTGGAATCTGAATCCTGCTGTTGATGCTCTGCTGTTATTTCCATAATTAAATTCTCGTAAATTTTCGATTCTCTTTGATTTTGATGACTTATATTTTGTGGTCTCGTTGAATAATTAGGCACATCCGAATAACTGCTAGTATAGTAGTAAGTAGGAAGTGTGGCACAATTTGGTTCCTCTAAAATCACACCGGTAGAATAGATAGCTGCTTTCTGGATACCAATGATGTATATCATTGAAATCACCTGTTACAATAGCTCCGTATTCACATAATCGTTTTTTTCTCGATTTCGAAAGAAAGTAACGTCCATGTTGACGTGTGACATACTGATTAACTTTAAATGAAAACGCTTTGCAAGCACTGATTTTAGGTAATTCAAAAATTATTCTTCATTTCCTATTTCAACTCCAATGATAAATACATTTCAAATAAAAGTAATATCGGAAAGATTCCTCTGAGCACTTTTAAAAACGAGTGTGAAATTTCGAAAATAACTCACTTCAGTTAATCGATGAATGAAATTGGATATAAAATTTAGCGCAAACTATATCTATTTGAATTCAGTACTGCGACAAAATATTCAAGTAGAAATGCACAAGATATATTCCATAAATTCAGCATAAATGAGTTAATTTCATCGCTAAAATGAGCATTATTCAGGTTGCTCAAACCGGATAATTACCCGTTAATTATTCATGGCTTAAAGCGGAGAAGTATTGATATGCTTTTGATTGCTATGGGAAGGGATTGTGTCACCCATTTGTTCGCATTGTCACCATCTGTCATCACTAACTACATATCTGTCGCTCATTTGTTTACCCCTAAATTTTTACGAACTGTTCAAAAATCCATCCTTTCTCAAAAGTTGCACTGACGCTATCAGAATTGATTACACATTCTCTCTATCAAATAATAATCAAATACTGCTTTTCATAAAAATTTTTTCCAAACAAGAACAAAGAAAATTTTAATTTTTTTGCCAAAAGAAGCATCTGGAAGTTGTGCACAAAAAATTCTAGAAATATGAACCGGAAATCTTTTTTGTTTGCCATAACACTGATGCCTACATATTATTGCATGCTTCTAATGAATCCATTAAACTTTTGCATGTAATAAATTTAAAATAGAATTAAAAAATAAGTAAATTTCATAATCAATAAACTCTCAATTAATTTTTTAGATAAAAGGTGATAAAATTTAACAATTTAAATGATTGTGTAAGGGAGCGGCTATGAGATGAGAGTGGCCAACTAACAATGTTTAAAATTTATCAAATAGACCTAATTTAATTGGAAATTTCATCGATAAGAGTGCACGTCAAATTATAATAAAGAATTTTGTTTTAAGCTTATTTTCAGTGAATAATTCGCAAATTCATCTCAAATATTTTAAAATTTGTCAGCTAGATATCAAAAAAAACTTGATTTTGGCGCAAAATTAGCCATGACTCAATGCTAGAAGTGGAATTTGTCATGTTTGAAATTTGTTAAATAAAGCTTACAGTGTGATTGAAAATAAATTTATTTTTTACTTCCCTTTGTGAAGATGAAATGAAGAGCAAAAATTGTAAATGATCATGAAGAAAATGAATATCTAAAATTCAAACAGTTTAGTTATTGCATTTAACATTTAGATGATTCAAATATATTTTAATTGAAAATATTAAATTATACCTTGCATCATTTTGTTACTGTATCATTCAAATCACTTAAATGCTTATTAACATTTTAATAAAATTAACCTTGAGGTTGTTCCGGAGCAGCTGGCGCGGGCATTCTCTTTGATTATGATAAATCACCTGTAATCTGAACAATAAAAAAAAAGTTTATATAATGTGAAATTCTCGTTTAATACGACAAAAACATCAAGTAATACATTTTATTAGTGGACTATTATTACTTTATTTCAAATAATTCACATCAATATTAAAGAAAGAAAAATTTACAAGAATTTCTAAAAATAATACTAACAAATTAAACACATTTTGATTACAATGCAATTTTTTTAATCAATCCAATTTTACAAGAAGTTAATTAATTTGATGGTTGTATCTGTCAAAATACCTAAACTCACAAATTATTCCTCGGAAGTTAACCCTAAATTTTGAGTATTCTGTATTTGTTCATAAATTTGTTAAACAAAAAAAAAGGACTAAATAATTGAGAATTAATGTAAATGAATTTATTTGTTTGTATCTGTTAAGTGCAATTAGAGCTTCTACTTTGTTACCTTCTTCAGATTCAATCTTTTCTGTCTTAATAATCGTACCAAATGCGAAATTTGCACAGACAATACAATTTTTGTTTACATTCCCTCTCTCTGCACTTTGGAAAATTCAAACTACCTGAAACTCACTCAGCAAATAAATAAATCAAAATAACTTAGTGGTGATATTGTAAATTCTGATCGAAAAAGTTCCATATATTTAAGTTTATTTGGCATTTTTCATTTGGGGACATTTAATGTATTACTTCATTAAATATATCTAATTCAAAAAATTTTAACTGCGAAGATTATGTTCTGCAGATTATTTCTCAAAACCCATGCTCATAACATTAAAAATCTTTGATGTCTATTAAATTTTATTAATAAAGTTTAAAATTTTGCAAATGAAACAGAGAGTTTCTCAGTATATGAAAATGAAAAATATTTAACAGAGGATTGAAAAGTTCTTTCAGTGTATTATCACATTTGATAAAATAGCTCAAATTTTAAAAGATGATTTCAGGTTTAAATTACATTCCTTTTTGTTTTTCTCTTTTTCTTTTTTCCTATTTTTCCTGTTTTATTTCATCTCCAAAGCATAAAAGTTAAAATGACAAAACAATTTTGAATTAAATTGAAAGCAAGTTATTCGCTAAATTTTTTTTGCAACATTTAGAAGCTCTTAAATTTATATAATCAGAAAGCACAACAGAATCATTGCCACTCTCTAATGAAATTGAATTTCTAAAATAAATATATTATTTTGTGCGAATTACTGAACAAAAGCAATTTTTAAAAATGAATTCCTTGAATTTCTGTACTCCTTAACTCTTAGATCTGATTATTTGATAGAAGAAATAACTTTTTTGGTTTATAATTTTGCCTTACTTGTTTTGTTGTATAACTGAAAGATATACATATCTTGCATATGATAATTTCGTTTGAATTTATTTAAAAGAATATCAAACCAATGAGTAACTCATTGTTTGAAATTCTATTCTGTCACTTTACATTAGCTGTAAATTGTAAATGAACAGTTCTTTAGCTGTAACTAATTGCTAGAAATTATTTTATTCTTTGCAACTATTGGACGAAAATAGTAAAATAGACTTAAAATAGATTTTAACTCAGACTTTAACTCTAATCTAAAACTTATCTTCATGTTCCATATAAAAGGAAAATTGCAACTACAGTGAATCTTTTTGTAAATTAGAACCCACAGTAGCTGTTTGTCAACTGAAACGAGTTAAGATGATGATAAGATGATAGGGTGCTAATGATAAGATGGTAAGATGTTAACGATAAAATGATAATTTGATTGTTAAGACGTTAACGACAAGATGATAATTTAATGGTATGATAAATGCTTGTCCAGTAAAAAAAAAATATTACAATTGAAGATTACATCCATTGGAACAATGAAAATTTCCTTAAAAAAACTAAAATCATCTTTCCCACAATATTTAGTAAATCCCAGTAATTCAACAATAAAATATTAAATTGTATTGAATAAAAATGTTGACTATATGCAATTAATATTAATGAATTTGATTGAAATAGTTTTAAGTTTGCAAAAATAAATTAGTATAGAAGTGGGAGAGAAAGATTATAGTTAAAAACATCTGTTAGGGATAATTAATAATAGATTTTCTTTTTTTTTGAAAAACGACTTTGGAATAAGTGGATGGATGAATGATGTGGTGGAAGAGGTGCGTTTGAAGCTTTGCTATTAGCTTTATGGCTGATGGCGGTAGAAAAAGCGCAATGAGGCTGTACAGCAGGCAAAGTTGATTTGATGATTTCAGTAGAGAAAAGAAAGCTGATTGATGTGAGTGAAAATTGTTTTGGAATAGAAAGTGAGAAAAAATGTTAAACGAACTTGGCTTTCAATCGAAACTAACTTTTAACGCACAAATATCTTTTTTTTCCTTTTGAATAAAAGAGATATAAGAAAATGATTATTCTTTGTATATTAATCATTCATACAAAAACGAAATATAATGGTGCACAATGAAATTAAAAAGAAATAAATAATAAAGGCTGCTAAATAATTGAAAAGTTTAAAGAAAACTAAACAATCATGAATAACTCAAATTCGACGAACTCTTTTAGAAGTTAAAATTGGCATCATACTTTAATTTTTTCATTTTTTGGTTTGTTTAGTATTAACTTCCTTTACTGTCAATAATTTAAGTGATCAAAAACCGATTTGTTTTGTATAATTTAATTTTATCTTATATAATTTTCGTCATTTAAAGGTAATATTCTACAAAAATTTAGAAAAGCTTAGTTTTATAAGGCTTACTTTAAGATTCGGAGATTAGATGAAAGAAATTAAGATTAAACTTTTGTCCTGTTCCACTACTGCAACTCTTTCTAACTCGTAATTCCGGAAAATATTTTGGAAAATATTAAAAATTAAAGTGATAATGTAAAAGATTAACGAGATTAGTATTTTAAATAAATTTTTAATACTCTTTAAATTTTTAATTTTAATTCTCTGGAAAACAATTAAACATAATAAATGCAGCTTGAGCAGATTGGTCATTTTTGGAGAGAAATAAAATTTTTAATTCATTGCAAAAACATTCGATAAATGCTACTTTGGGATATTTGCAAATGTTCGTTAATTACTACAATCTGGCAAAAATTTTTCATCCTTCAATTTGGTATCTTCGAAGTTCTATTTTCTAGCACACCGCGAATTGATGGTCAATAGTATTGAACTTGGAACTTGCGGTATCATTAAAGCACTTTTTCCGAAATCGAAACTAACCATATTTGTCAAATGAATAAAATGCGGTGCATATACCAGAAAATCGATTGAAAAAAAAAGTTTCTTTTAATCTTCAACGATCTCAAATTATAACTCATTTGATGAAAAAGTGGAAATAATACCAAACAAGAAGTTTAGAAAATTTAAATCATTTTTTGTTCAAATTCCAAATCTTCTATAAATGCAATTTTAAATGAACATTATTTTATCAAAAACAGTTGAAGCGTTTCCATCACTGAATACTATTTGTACAACAATATGATAAAAATATCGATGAATAATTGGAGAAATAAATTAATAAGCGGAAAAGAATTTTTGTTTAAAGCTGACCGAACGGAAGAATGGGCGGCAAAGAAAAATAGATCGACGCAAATTTAAATTCTGATCAAAAACAAGCTGCAGTAAAATGGATGAAATTGGAATATTTTGGTGCCTTTCCATCAGTGAGTACCTGCCATTAGTGCATTCCATTTTCAAAAGTGTATTGTATTACTGTAAGGGCTAAGTTATAGAAATGGTACAAAAATGTATCCTATCAATAAATTATGCAAATATCAAAATTTCGAATGCTTAAATTACATAAATTTAATCTCCAATTTTTGAAAATTTTGACAAAATTTAATTGTACATCAAATCGTACGCGCTATTGTTCTCGGCATTGTGTCATTAAAAAATGAATAAAATCATTTTGCTATCATTATTGATGAAATGATCCACAGAGAAATGACAATATTTGATCATGAAAATAATATCAAAAATGTGGGAATCATTGATGGATGAAGTTAAAGGAAATAATTTTAATATTCAAAAAATACCTCATTGTAATAAAAATTTACCATTCAGATTTCTTAGCTTAGCACATGAGCGAGTAAAATGTCGGGGTAGGGAATCTCATCTGAATCACTCAATAATCCATGCAAATGATTATATTTTATATAATGATTTTTTTTAAAAAAAAGAACTAAATTGCTTTTAATTGATTACATCGTTCATTCATAAAACTGGAAATGATAACACAAATGAGTGAATGATTTTTTTGGTTTCTCATCAATTTATAAAAGTAAGATAATAAACAGGTATAATGGAATGATGGGAAGATTTGTGGTAAGGGAGAACAACCTTAACAACTGAAGAATGTCGACCAAAGACACATATTATAAAACTTCCCAATGTTCCTCCTAACAGCTTCAACTTTCACATTAATATTTCTGTTGCTATCGCAGTTGCTATTTGCTTGCTATTTGCCATCAGCTAGCATATCTGACTTAAGATCGGAAGAATTGCTTAGACTAATTGATAGATTGATAGCTTAAATTGTAAGCCATACAGTTAGACAGATACATTCAATGAATAAATGAATGCATTATAAGAGAACAGAAAATTCTGAACTATCTTCATACCTCTTTTTAATTCTCATAGTAACTGAAAAAGTTAAGCAACAAAATTTCAGAATTCTTATCATCTTCATACTATAGCATTTTAGCATTAGTCTGTGTATGTATGTGTGTGTGTGTGTTTGTGTATGTGTATGTATATGTGTATATAGATCTGTTCTATCTTTTTAATCTATGCGTATTTACAATTAACGGTGAAGATATTGAAAGCCAAGAATAGAATACTTCAAATACTGCTTCTCCCACACAAATTTCACATTCGCAGTCTGCCACTAATAGTTTAAACCCAAAATACATCTTTTATAATACACCTCTCTGTGAGTGAGATCTTTCTCGAATTCAATCATCTATCAGTCGAACAACTGTGTCGGCTGATTTTTTTGTTCTCATAGATTTCTACCTGCTAAAGTTCGCTCCCATCTCTCTTCAACACCATTATTTAACATGCATGTACTGAGAAGAGATATACACCTTCCTTTACCATTACACTTCCTCCCCCCTCTCTCTCATCATCCTTCAAACTTTGGTTCAGCTCGAAATTCCAATTATTTGTGTGAGGCAAGGCAGGTTGGCGGAGTAGCGAAAGGATGAAAATATTTTTTAGTTTTGCTCCATTGATGCTACCTCAATTTTGAAATTATTTAACAGCAAGCACGAAAAAAATTTTGCGTTATTACTTCTAACTCCAAACATTTAACATTTCTTCTACTCCAAGAAAACACCTTTGATCGGAAGCTCACGTCATTTTTTTCTAATTCAATAATATCAATGTAAATTATCTATTAGTAATATCATCAGTTACACTCGAAATTTATAATTTCTAAAGCTCACATTTATTTACTCAATTCTTTCATTAATTAGTTAAACAAAATTTGAAAAAAAAGAAGGAATATGAGTGATTTTTAAAAATATGACTTTAAATGGAATAAATGAAATAAAGTAAGATGAAGAAATTGATTACATAATCATAAAATATCGATTATAACATGTCCTTATTAACCGTACACGATTCCTCTGAGCTTTAAATATCGGTAAAATCAAACTTTCATAATCAAAAACATTTAAATCTTTAAAATTTTTGAAAGTTACTCATTTTAGAAAATTGATTTGTTATAAGACAGAAACCAAAATTGATCTGAAATTAAAAAAATTAATCTGAAAATTTGAAGTGAAATTAACATACCAAGAAGGTCCACATGATTTGATTGCAATTAAAATTCTTTGCATGAAAGTTTTGAAAGTTCGGTTTTCTGAATAAATTCTACTATTTTCAAAAACAGAAAACTCCTTGTAATTGTTGTTTTAATCCAATAATGAAGGAACAGAATAATGATTCTGAACAGCTTGTTTTGATTGAATCTTTAACACTATTTCAAATTAAATAAATTAAAAAGGGTTCCGAACCCTTTTTAATTTATTTAATTTGCAATTCGACTTGATGATATTGCTCTTACAACATTTTCAGAAGAAAGTATCCAGTCTTATATCCAATTATCTTCTGTGTTAAGACAAAAAATCCAAAAATTATAACTTGAGGATTAGAAAAATTATAATTCAACAATAAAGTTATAATTCAAAGACCAAAATCGAATCGTAAATATAATTGATAATCACGGATGAAATTTATCAAAATTCGAAGTCGAAAAGGCGGCAAATGTACAGAAGCAATTTTAATTAAATAATGTCAATGATAGATCATTGTAATCAGTCTTTTGTCGCTGTTTAATTTCAGTGAAATATCGCACCAAAGCGCCCAACATCACAATTTTTCCTGTAAGAGCAAATATCGTTGCATGCGCCATGTTCTGCACGAACCACTGCCCGATACTTGCAATCCAGAATTTCGTCTGTTCCAAAACCATGAAATGATGAGGTGTAAGATTGAGCTGTAGCCATATCTCAGAGTATTTATAATTCGGCATGAATATTATTGACATCCCAATCAATAACTGAAATAAAGGAACTCAAACAGAATGCACTGGAAAAAATGGATTGATTTCCTTCGAGATCAGGCCTATTATTCAAGAATAGTGCCTACGTAATCAATCGATTCCCATGATGCATCAGCTGAGATTGTTGAATCAATCCAACTATAAAATGCTGGAATTATTAGACCAATTGTTGTCAATCCTGAAAAAAAAACTTGAAATTGTATTATTAGAAATATTTAATTTAAATAAACCATAGGATATATTTTTTATCAAACAAAGTGTAAATTTTATAACAAACAAAAAAAATTTTAGTAATATAACCTGAAAATTGTTTTAAAAAATAACTTTTACTAAAAAATAAATCGTGATTCTAATTTGTTATACAGAAATTAATTGCAACAATATCACCATCCCAACTAATTAACTTTCTTATCACAGTATCACTTCGGTACTTCTCGACATGGCATAGATATACAATTTAATGATCTTTATCGGTCAATCGATAATATCTTTAACTGTAATGCAGCAGTAAGTTTATCAGTTACTGTTCAGATAAGTTATCACTTTACCTGTAAAATACAGAATGAATGTTTCTGGCTGGTTGATGTTAAGAGTATGATAACACTTTTGTATTTGCAACAATTGAAAACCTTGTAAGATAGCTAAAATGGGTGCAAGAATGAGCGAAATTGTTTCATATTCGATGACACTAAACTCCAACCAACTCAACGATCCACCAAATGCAATCGGAATCTAAAAGTTTTAATTCTTAAACTAAATATGAAAAAGCAAAATCTCGAAGATCTCATTATTATTCCGAAATCACACACAATGTTATATAAATTACAAAATTCTTACTGTTTATTAAATGTTCATTTTAATGGACATAACTTTTTCATTTCTGTTTTTCATCCCTACAAGATTCAAATCAATGAATACATCTGAGTTACTGTCTGACTATGTTTGGGTACCATTAAAAAAAGGGAGGAACAGAAATGCGACAAATTGATTCTCTGACAGATGATTTCACTTTATTTATGGTTCTAAAAAAAACAGTGTGAGTTGTTTCGAGCTCGAAATAAGACAGGTTTTGCTGGTATTGTGTCATAAATCATCGGATCAGTCTGTTTTGGTACCATACTAGTCGGCTGCAAACATCACTTGAGACTTACATCAGTTGAGAGATACAGATAGACTGACCTGTACAGATTAACCTCATTGCACTTGAAGATGCCTACGGCCGTCGCTCCTACACTAAATTCAAATTTGTTGTGTAAGTCCTAACTTCTATTCTTTCTTCTTAGCCTTTAGCCTTTTCACGCCTCATTCTCGAGATGCAATATTTTTCCCCTATCTCTATTTTGTGACTCCAACAATAGCCTCCTCGCTTCTTCCTCGAAAATACAGCATTATTCCCCGTTATGTCTCAAATCCACGGACCCTTCACAATCCGTTCGAACTTCTGTCCATTCCATACCAACGGTCATCCAAACATTTGTATGCGAAGATCTGTACGGCGAAGATTGTTTACGTTCGCAGCCCGAAGTTTACAGTCAGGGTCTTTTTGGTTGATTTGTGCTTGGAGTCATACTGAGGTGGTTTGTGGGTTAGGGTTGTGGTGTTTGGAGGTTCGGGTGCTCGATTGCAGCAAAGGTTGTCATGAAGCTGAGTTATATTAGCAGAAGTCAACTGGGTGATAATTATTATTCAGTTATCTTAGCATCTTCCAACAAAATTTAAGATTACTACAGATCTGCTATGGCTAACTTCATTTTCATGGTTATCACTTTGTATCTTTTCTCTGTATATTATACTAATAAGTTATTTCTTACATTGAATTTACTTAACTAAACTAATTGAGTGATAGCTAGTTGAGTAGTAATTTATGATCACCTCCCAGTATTGTTCAGATGTTGCTGATAATAATTATTACCGGTGGTAATACAATATTTTGCAAAAATAAGGACTTACCAGCAAATTGATGGGTGGATTGATATCGGATCTAAGTAGCCGGTTGGAGAATTTACTCACAGTAAGTGTTGTTAAAAAATCGAATACTCTGGAGATGTACAATACTGGAGAAGTTTTGCGAAGTATAATTTTTTGGGAGATGTAATCAAAGAGCAACTTTATTTCATTTTCGAAATATTCTGCATGGTTTGGTTTTAGAGATCATAGAATTTCAAAAATTTTCCAAACGAAATTTCATTCTCATAGTTAAATCTCTGTACTTTGTGATTTATAATGAGAAACACACCTGAGTAGGTATAAGCTACCTGAGCGTGTTTGTGAATGTATCCGATTTGAAAGTAGAACAATAATGATTTGTGTAGTGATGGGTAATATGAACGGGGTGATCGGTAATGGCCTACTCCATCGTTCCATTCCGATCATTGAGCAGAGCAACAGAAAAAAAAATGTTAAGCAGTAATGCCAAAAATGCAATACAGTGGTATGCCAGTCCAACACAAAGTATAGAGCGTTATGAACTGACGAAAGGTAAAATGCTGAGCTTACGTTGAGCAAATAGTACAATAGTATATCGTGTGCTGCCATTTGGTTAGTCTGGAATTTCAGTTTGCGTAAGTCATTACATAACAGATTTGACTGTACAAATCGTGGAACGGATGTATGAGTGGGATAGTGGAGTGATAGGATCAGATGGCAACTTTGAGAGGAGGAAGAAAAATAAAATTGTTCGTAACGCACAATTAGGACATGACCTTTCTCTACCTATTATTTATTTTCTTCGTAAAGAGTGTGAGTCCTATTTATGATTGGATTCGTTATTATTTTGTGCTATTTTATAGACATTTCATGTGTCTTTTTTTGAAAAGAAATTATTAAAGCTATTAATTTTCCAGCATTTTGCAAAAAGCAGGGAGGATATCGTGTGTACAGTCGTGTTTATCAGTGGGAAGTGTTTGATGAGAATAAATTACAAGAAAGTCGAAGTAAGTCTTGTCACCATATTATCAGTAGTTATAGCTGATAAGATACTGATACTCTTACTCCTCAGTTTTTTTCACTGAATATAGCAATAAATATACAATTAAGGTGGGGAATGGGGGCAGTACTGATGGAATTAGAAGTTAGCAAATCAGATTTTTCAGATTTTTTCCTGTTATCGGTTCATATAAGATGTTTCAACTATTCATATATCCCTTTGCTGTATGAAAAAAATGAGCTCGCAAAAGTGAAAAAATTGATATTCAAGGGAGAAGAGATATGTTGCAATCTGTCAGCTGATACTATTTATCTTTATGAGGACATTTTTAGATATGTCTTCACAACTATTTTGCATTATGCATCTCTAATATCAGATCTGTTGAACATTTTGAAGATCCAGAATGAGAAAGAAAAACTTGAAATTACGTTACTTAACCCTACAACTACTAACACTGGTAATTGGAAAAGGTTTATATTTGCTGACTGGCGAGAAGAATAATGCTGGTGAAAGGTAAAATCGCACAGTATGCCGAGGACGAATCTGTCTGTCCTTGTAATCTGCGCATTATTGTTGTGTTACGGAACCGAACTACATAGTAGGACAGATACCAATGTTTATTTCACACATATTCTCTCCTTGAAGAAACAGAGGAGTAGAATAGATAAGAATTTTTCTTATCTACTTGCCCTCAAAATTCGAATTCGTAAAATTATTACCAAGAATCCATCATTATGATATTTTTGTTCTGAACTTAATCTGGTCTTAGACGGGACCCATTAGTTTTGGAATCTTTAAAATTTTCAGCAAAAAATAGACTTCATTTTGAGTTTTAAATACTCTTTGTTTTAAGGATTCAAGCGCTTGAAGTTTATTTCCTGTTAACTTTTATTCGCAGAATATTTAGATGTTTCTAGAGCACGCATCATAATGATTTAAAAACTGAAGAAGATGAATCGTTGTTATGCACTAAGGATAAGCCCCCGATTTACAAGTTACCGACCCAGACACGTCTCAAACTTTCCATTCGTAAATGGAATGTTAGTATATCTTTTTATATTTCTAAATTTTTCTTTTGAAAGTAGGTGATTATGTAACACTTTTTCATATTTCCCATAAAATCTTCTTTGAAGGTGGCGGCGAAATGGCGATGGAGTATAGGTGAAGGACCGTGTGGAATTTGTCGCGAAACGTTTGACTGTTGTTGCGTTACGTGTCAAACGCCTGGTGACGAATGTCCTATCGTCAGTTCTTTTTATTATAATACCTACATTTTAAGGCAAAAACAATGACTTCTAGTGTTTGTTAATTTCTGGTGGGGTTTTTAATGCCTTGATAGCGTATCTTATAATGTACTTTGCTTTATAACTCAAAATCAATCTTTTTTTACACAGATAAGTTTTGACAATTGTGTTTATGGCCATAAAATTTTTCTTTCTTTGATTTGAGGGATTCTTAAAATGTATATTCGTCTATTGATCTCATAGCGCTAGATATTTTCTGAACTATAAAGCGAAAGTCATTTAAACTGATTATCGTGGCTCTGTTTACTCTTTCGTATTTATAATAACAATTGGACAAAATAAGGTTTTCCTAAGAAATATACATTTTGAACTTCAACTTCAAACATTTAAGTTATGTCATTTAAATCCAGTTTTATACAAGGCTCATATTTTTGCAGTTTGCAATAGATCCTTTTGTTATAGCTTCGTTTACAGGCCATTGGTATATGCCGTCATGCTTTCCATATGCACTGCATAGTGAAGTGGACTAAATCACAAAAAGTGGCTTATCCGCTGTGTCCTTTGTGCCGGCAGAAATGGGAATTTGCGCCGATGGAACATACTAATAGTTGCCCAACGAATTAAAATTTTGACCAGTGTTTTAACTCATTCAGCATAGTTGTAAATTGTTTTTTTACTTAATCTGTTTTTTAAGGCACGCATTGCTCATCGGTGTACATATTACCTCTCCTTAGCATTCTCCGTTAGCATCACACCTATCTTTTTTAAAATTTGGTTTTCATTTTTCTTACTAACCCATTATTACTTTTCTTGTTTTATTTGAATTCCTTTGCGAATCTTTTTTTTCTTAGCCAAATGTTTGCTTTTAGAATTTATGCTTTATATCAATGATCAAATTTTTTATGGTTACCAGAAGTTGAGGAATGAAAGCTGAACTCCGGGAGGAGTGTTTTAAAAATTTTCCAGGCAATTTCATTTTCATTTTTTTTTTTTGCTTAATTTTGTTAGAGATACTTATGAAATTATTTTTCATGGGTTTATTTGTATACTTTCAGTATTTTTCACGGTTATATGAGCACCATTCATTGATTTTGTCCGTGTTTTTTTATGTTACTTTTGCAGGGAGGGCCTCTATCAGCGGATTATTTTTTAGAAAATTAGGAATTCTAAGCATGCTATATTACTATAAATTTGATCTGATCTTTTTTATATTGGGATTTGCTTATATGTATTTTTCTGTATTAATTTTAATTTATTGTGAAATTAACTGTTCTGGTCAAGATCTACCCCTTTGATTTGATGACTATAAAATTTTTGGTACAATGTGCACCAAAAATTTCTGATGCATGATTTGCGAAAATGGAAAAGAATAGAAAAGGAAGTCCGGTTCAACCGACTGTTGAGGATTTTTAATTCGATGATTTATACTTTTCATTTCTCATTGTATTAACTATTTTTACGTCCTCCATTTTTGCTAAGCTGCCGTTGATCTGCCTCTTTATCCTTTCACTCACTGGATGAAGATAAAACTGTACAGAACATCGTGTTATATTTTTTATGTCAGTAGTTTTGGTTATGTTTGACACGGATTATAAAAACTCGAGCTTGCTTTCTTATTTTAAACTCTCCTATTTTATTTGCCACCTTTTTCTTGTTCCACTGTCCTCAATTACTAGAAATATTCTTTGTGGTTTCCTAGAGTTTCTCAACTTTTGGAATTGTTGATTTTTATATAGTTCATGTTTAATCAAAGCAATACTGTTGTCTTGATGTAGAATATATCCTAAATAGCAGATTCACTTATATTTCGTTATTTGTCATAGGCAATCGCTTTTTTGTCCTGACTCACGGTACTCCTTTATTCAAGGTTTTTTTTGCTTCATAAATAAAACGCTTTTTAGATTGTTTAAAATGATACAATTAAGTTCCCCAAATACTTGAAATTGTTATGTGATATAATTTATAGTTGCCAACTGTGGTATGTTTTTTTTTATTGTATGAAGAGATTATTATATCTACAAATATGCTGCGCATTATTACCCTGTTCAAGCATGGAGAGATAAGCATACCATCATAACAATGATAAACTCATACAGAAATGTAACTCATAATGAATTCATCCAGTAAATATCATATGTAATAGCTGGTCGTCAGTCTTTTTGTGTTTCTTATTTTTCTTCATTGTTGGACGTTGCTGCACCTGTCGCTGGAATTTATCCCATACGCCACCTTTCTTTAAAACCTAGAATGGAAACACATTGCATGAATAGGGAAGGAAATATTTATTAATAATGAATTGGACATTTCTGAAAAGTTCGATCACCTTTTCTTCCAGTTTTCTCAGTTGCTCTCCTTTCTCAACTTGGTCAGAAAAAAATGAGGCCTGTCGTTTTGCTTGAGCTATCTCAACATGCATTCGTTGTTGCTCGATCCGATGTTCGAAATTTAATTGTTCCACCAAATGTGTCCACTTGAAACTGGAACGAGAACTTAATTGCTGTTATAAGAAATTCGGTTCTATATATCCCGGCAAACATCAGGCACATCCCACAGAACTAACGAAACGGAAAGCCTCTATAAGAGAAAAGCAATTGAACTTTGTTCACTTTAGACGAAAAGTCCTGAAAATGTATTAGAAATTGGACTTTTTACAGTTGAAAAGAAATAAATACATCAACATTTAAATGCCATCCTGAAAGAAGAATAGAATAAGAGAAAACTTTGGCTTGAAAATCTAACCAGAACTAGTAGTCAAGAATTAAATGAAAAAATAAAAAAAAACTAAATAAAAAAAGCATCAAACCCGCTCAAATATTTCATTGTCCAGAGAGATTCTCGCGCAGCACTTCGTCGTTTTCCACCGACAGCTGTGTTATTCAACGATGCAGCTACTCGTTTTGCCAGACTTTTCTTTTTAAACTCAACCCAACCTTCTACAAATCGTTTTCTCCGTTTACCTTTTGCATCACGTCGTTTATCAGTCTATAATATGTATTGTACATCGAAAATTTACTTTCATTACTGAATGCTTTTTCAAAGCCGATGAAAAATTTACTTGAAGGTATATCCTTCCAATTTCGCCAAATTTACTCATTTCATTACGCATTCTTGAGACAGTAAAGTTTGGTGGTAATGACTGGAAGTAAATAATGCCACTTTTCTGTTCCTTCACTTCAGGCATTTCATTCTTTGACAGTATTCCGTGTTCTGTTAACTTCATCTTCCTTCCCTGAAATATTTCTTCACAGATAAACACCCGAATATGAAGTTAACAGCGAAATAATTTTTTTTTGATTCTTTCTATTATTGAGGGAGAAAATTCTATGAACAACAGCGTCAAATCTAATAGCTGACCCTTCCAATACTATTTATAAAGGAATATGAAGAGAATAAATATCGAAATGGTCACACTAATTTATCTATGCGTGTTAGTTATGCTTGCAAAATGACACCTTAAGAACAAATAATAACCTTCTTCGTTTGAAAAAAAATCATTTGTGAATGAAAGAATAAAGTCAAAAAGTATCAGACTTTACTCTTAAATATGAAACAAAAATACCTCGTCCATAATACCGTCCACTTCGACTTGGTCAATCTCTTTGAACGCTCCAACGGATTGCTCATTATCAGTAATATATTTCTTCCATATCTTCATTGATCTTTTCCTTCTTTTTTAGTTTCCTTTTTCTATACGAAAATAAAAATTATTATTTTCATCCGTACTTTGACAACAATTTCACACTCTAAATAATTTAAAAGAGTTATCAAAAGCTGTAAAAAATTAATTCAATAATTGAAAGCAAAACCCGAACTTCCACTCAGCACATTATCTACCACGGAAAATCGAAAAACTGAAGAATAATTGGATTGGAAAAAATGAGACAATCGATAATGTTGATAAATTTAAAGGTACCGGAACCATCCTCACCAACTGCTACCACCACCTGCTCACAGTGCATTTGAACAAAACATTCTTCGATTCCAGTGCCCTCTACGAAAACGTGTTGTATCACAGAACTTCATTGCTGATAAAATATACTTCGATCCATTTGTCTTCCTTTTTTATTGTCATGAATTCGCAAAACATTAGCGAAATTTCTTCAAAGCGTTTGCTTTATTTGAACGGAAATAAAAAAAATTCTATAATTTTTCAAATTTTTATAAACGAGTGAATTTTTGGGAGCAGAGCGATTTATTTTTCATACCATCTTAACGTTTACTACCTTCTTAATAATTCCACCTAATGAAATTAGGTCATCACCGATAGTTTGATGGTTGTAATGGCAATGGATAGAAGAAGAAAAGGTAATAAGAGCGTCATTATCATTCTCCTTTCACTTCCAACATTAACGGGTGAAATTGTAGAAAAAGGAATAAAGATTTTAATTGATTTTCATCTCACTTCCATTTAATTTATCTGAATAACAGACATGCACACATTCCCCGATTTGTTCGTATATTATTTGTAAATTCTTCGGGAATTATTTCATTCAATGAATTTTTCTCCTTATCTGTTATCTTGTCTAATTTCATTTTAGGATATTCCTACAAAATGTTTCCAATTTGTTAATTATCTTCCAACACTATTAAAGTCTTACTTTTACTGTAACATGAACGTTAGAGTTTAGCGTAAAGATAGATTTCTTTTCATTCTCTTTTTCCCTTCTAAATCATTCAATCATGATGAAATGATTTCGACTATATCTTCATTACATCTCTTCAGTATTCCGATTGCCGATTCTTTTCTGCAGATTAGTTTAGCTGAAGTATCTTGCTAGAAAGTAAAACAAGAATACTATATTAGCTTAGATTTCAAAAATTCTTAAAAAAAATAATTCCATGAAATTAATCATACAGAATTGTTTAATATAGGAGATGCCATATAATGTTTCAGTTTACAATCTCAAAAAAATCTTATACGATTGAATTTCATTTTGAATTAGAAATTGTGGAAGCTTTCAAATTAAAATGCCTCTAGTGGGAAGTGCTATTCATTCTCGAGAAGTAACGATGGAAAAAGAAAAAGAAGTATTTGTTTATGATAAAGATGACGAATTCTATTCTGCACCAGGATTTTGTTATTTGTTGCATTATCGAAATGCTGCCATATTTTGTGGAATTCTTGAAATCCTTTTACTTATTATAGCCACACTCGTATTTCTCAGTAAGTAAAAATTTGATTGATTTACTTTATATTGAAGCATTATTGACCAAACTGCTTTGTATTATTGCAATAATTGGAACATTTTTCATGCTTCTCTGACTCATAGGTTAAAATTTATCAAAGTTCTTATGTTAATAATGATCTTAAAATTAATTGCATTTCATATTCATGAAATTACAGATTTACAACTTGGGAAAGCAAATATTCGTATATGGTTGTCAACAATATTAATTATATTCCTCGTTTTTGCTACAGTTACTACACTTCTCATGGTTAATCATTGTTTTTTTGTTTTTGTATTGATTCATTTAATTATTTAATTACTAATATTTTTTCATTTTTACCATAAAAAATTGAATAGGATATTTTTATATGATTAAGGAATGATATGATTTGAAAAATATCGTAGCACTGTAAGGCAATTTTTCTTGACAATTCAAAATATTTATAAATCAAATTGATTAAATCAATAAATTTTGGAATTAGCCTTTCAAATAGCCTATTTGTTGTAGCTAATATATGACCAAATTAATTGTTCATCAGAAAAAGAACTGAAACAAAGGCTTTAGTACCAACGATCCATTTTTTTTGTACAAAATTTCAGATCTATGGCATTGTAACGGAAAAGCCGAAGTATATGTGGCCATTAATGGCATTCATGCATGTCGAAATTACAATTCTCATCATCTCAGCAATTGCATCGATAACAAGTATGTCCATGGGACTACTGGCTACCCATAGGCTTTTTGGTCTTTATGTTAGGTAAGTTATTATCTAGAATATCATCTCAAGTATAATCCTATAAATCAAGCTCATACAAAAAAGTGTCTATTTGCATTCTCTTGATGAAATGGTAATGTTACAAAGTATATAAACTTTGTGCCAATTTTAATAGTGAGCAGAAAGATGCTACTTCCCTTAAAAATTATGTCAATTTAAATCTTAAAAAGACTATACAGATTTCTTCTCTTTTTTGTTGTTGTTGTAACATATATAATTGTTGAAACAAACAAAGTGTAGTTGTAAGGAGCTGAAAATTAAAGGAGAACATCCACGCTCATCCTTTAATTGAAAGATATTCTGAGAGAAAGACATTTCTCAAAACCGGTTTCCATTATTGATGTCTCTCTCTCATCTTCCCTTTTAATTCATATCTAACAATGATATCTTAATTTCATTCCTCTCAATTACTCATATTTTTCAGCATAAAGAAATTGGAGAATCATTTTGGTCCTATTTGGCCATTCAATTTAGCCGTATTATCATTTTTCGCAGCAACAATCGTAATTTGGTCGTATATTATTGTAAGAGGTGCTTATGATTATCTGTTGGATAAAGAATATTTCATGAAGAAGCCAAACATAGAAATGGTGAAAACGATTGTTGTTAATGGAATGTGAGAAATTTTGAATAAATTTTAAAAACAACTTCTTCTTAACAAATATTAAGATATTGCATTTTTTAAATCTAAAGCTTATTTAAGATTTAAAATATTAGCACGAATTATGATAGTTGCTAAATGTAATCGTTTTTTTCATTTCTTATATTTGTGGCAAATGCATTTTAGTAGCAAATAATTAATAAATAAAAACAAATTGAAACCATTTGAATATCAACAAAGAATAAGAAAAATTTGCCATAATAAACACAGAAATTAAACATGATAGAACAAATGAAATATGGTTGTTTTTGAAATGAGAGTTCTAGCAAATTTAATTTATTCATTTTTTTAATTTCGAATGTAAAAAGAAATCAAAGAGGGGAGTAAAAATTTTCATGAAATGATTCGAAAAATTTCTTCGATTATCTACGATGGAATGAAATTGAAACAATTCATACAGTGGATTTCATATGATCAGAACTCTCAAGAGATGTGATACGTAAGTCATATAAAATACCTGAGGTGAAAAGCTATACCACAATGCAAATGTTTTATACAGATCAAAGCTCATATCAAATGTGTTATTTTAATTCTCAACATAATTCTGTAGAATGACAAATTAAGCCCTTTACGCAATTTATAAATACAATTAATAGTAAAGAAAAATATATTACAAATTGCTAACAATAATCAGTTCATTTTACTATAATAATTTATATACAAAATCAAATGCTCTTTTCTGAAAAATTTAAAATAGCAAACAACATATAATAATACTAAAACACACAGTAAATCACCGAAAGAAAAGATAACAATTTATATTTCATGAAAATATTTCATATTTCATAAATATTTCATCGAAATTCAAATATGTTAAATATATGCTACACTTACACTAAAGCCTTGAATTAGAAATTCGAATTTAATTAAAATGAAATGAATATCAGTAAATAATATCGCTAGAAAATAATAAAGGATAATAATACTGATTGTTTTCAAACATTTTTTAACAGAGGTAGAAGTGGATTGTAATTAAATATATGAATAAACGACATAGATTATGTCTGTATGACTTTCAGTGGTACTTCGGAATCACTATGTACCCGACGTATGCTTCGAACAAGCTCAGAAGCACATTCTGAGGTGGTACCATAGCCGTTATCAGATTGACGGTCTTCTTCCAGCATTGTTCCACTAAAATTTTCACGATTTATGAAAGGAACAGCCAAGGAATTAGCTGATATTCCTCCTACATCATCACTTCTAACATCAACTGGAGCATCTACCAGACTGTTGTTCCGTGCTAACTCTAAAGGCAATTCATCGGGTTGCCGGAAAACTTTCATTTCATCCGGCATTTCGGCAGGATTATCGGATACTGCTGCACTTGTTGCTCCTGCTATTCCTGTATTGGCAGTTACTGGATTTATCAGATAAGCACCTCGAACAGCAAACAGTTCTGAGGTACTGGAAAGGGCTTCACCTGCTCCAGCCATTGTTGATGCGGTATTGGATGATGAAGGGGTGCAGAAATGTGGAATGCGAAAAGAGGATTCATGGATTGGAGGTGGAAAATTGGAGTGATGCTGAAGCTGCTGAAAAAAATTAAAATTAAATTTTGAAACTTCGACTAAAACAATAAATTTCAAGTTTGTTTACTTTAAGCTAACTAAAATTTCACCTGTTCCAGCGCTTTAATTCGTAGCAAATTATTGGAGCATTCCAATTCCTTACTTCTGAGATCATCCATAAGCTTCTTCTCTACCAAATCTCGCAACTCACGATCACGTATCCTATTTTGCCGTTCACGTTTGTATAAATCTTTATAATAATTCTTTCGTTCGTTTGCAGCTCTTAATTCCGCCCGAAGTTCCTTTAATTTATGAAAATTAAATCTTGTCTATGATATGTAATTACGAAGCACTTATTTTTAATTTTTTCATCATAGATGAAAAAATTTCGAACAAAATAAAGTTTCCAGCCTTAATAATCCTCTCTGAATTCCAGGTTTCGGCATCTGAATCATCTAAATCTCTGCTATAAAGCGGTGGAGTGTTCAATGATGGATCACAACTGCCATATTCTGAATTCAAATGACTACGACGCACAATGTTCATATATTCACGACGAGTCGGCTGCAAATGAATAAGAATTCTTTGTAAAATTCTTTGCAAAGAGAATAATTAAAAACTGAATAAATAATTAACTGAATAATTTATTGCAATTTCATACAAAATATTTAATTTCCACCTATTAATTTCTAGAAAATCTTTGAATATGAAGCACATGCATAAATTATCGAATTATTGTTAAATTTTTTTATCAAGTTTTTCATTACTTCAAGGTAGAACAAACTAACTGCTAGAAAATTTCTTCTAGCAACGTCTTACAAATACGATAAAAAATATAATTTTGAGATAATCCCTTTCAAACAAATAAAAAAAACTTTCAATGTATTGAAATCAGAATGAAAAAATTTGGAAATGGAAATGATAATTCATAAAACGACACCTTATATTTTGAATGTGCCGCACTAGCAAATGACCTATTTATGGTAGAGAATCGATCGAAATCATCACTGAAACCATCGTGGCATGATTGCGTACTGCGTGGGTATTTCCGCTGGGTGGCAATATGATATGGTGATGTGGACGCAGAAAGACCGTCATCCGTTCCGCCACCCCCATTTCCTCGATAATGATGATGAGATGAATAGAATGATCGCTTTTCACGCGCATTTCTTAACGATTTATAGGAGGTTAAGTTGCGATCCTGCAGTGAAATGGCATTTATAAGAAGGAGAGAGAATATGCAAGGATAGGAAGTAAAAATAATGGAAATCGAAATTGAAAATTGAAGAAGTGAAAAATACACAGAATGTGAAACAAGCATTAAGGCTTCTTCATCCCATACTGCTAAGCATCTATCATATCAACCGCAGAGTGACAAGAATTGTTGCAATATTAGTCAAACTTTAAATTTTGAATTTCTTCTGAATTCTATTTCTAAATCGAACTCAATATATATGCATAGTGATTTTCCAATCTTACTATCATTGTTTTCAAATGTTATGGAAAAGGAAATTTAAATTCAAATTTAAAAATACCAACAAATTCATTAGCAGAATGTTGTTGTTGTTGTTGCTGATGATGATATTGTTGTTGTTGTTGTTGTTGTTGATGATGATATTGTTGCTGCTGTTCATGATCTTCATTCTCTTTATTTGATCGTCGTGGACGAAAAAGGTTTTTAAACATTGCTTTTTTCGTTTTTTTCCTTTTTTTCAATGTTTTATTTATTCTGAAAATACATTGTTTATAGTTACGGAGTGAAATAATTGCTGCAAATAGCCGCACATAAACTTAAATTCAGAAACCGGCTTTTTTTTAAAATTAGAAATTTCAAATTTGACGCTAACAAATTTCAAAGAGAAAAGCCGCACATCTCACATTAATCGAAAAGACCATTCCGGCTTTGAAGAGCACCCATTTAAAGCATGTTAAAAATGAAGACATGAGAAGGAACCCATAAAAGCAATGAAATATAAAGTACCACAACCACTCCTATTTTCTCACTTCTTTTCTTATAAGTTAATTCAAATTTCTAAATCAAATCCGCCGCCCTCCTTTCCTGTTGTGCCTTCGCCTATCTAAAATTCCAGTAGCCGACCTCATGATCTGGTGACACTCGATAAGAAGTACGAACTCTTATTCAACACACAATAATACAGAAGTCGTGATATAATAATATTTTACACGATTCTAATCCTATTTTAAAATTTTGAGAAAATAAAATTTCCAATATCTGCTAACCAAATTGTAATAATTTCAAGCATTTAATTCAATTTTTTAAAGGAGAAAATAATGTGTAAATAAAAAGCTCAAATTACACAAAAAGCATAGAAGCTCAAATTACACAAAAAGCATTGAATTTTGCTGTTGCCAAACAACTATTTTTAAAAATTTCAACTATTCGATACAAAACAATAATTGTTCAAATTTTAATTTTGAAAATATAACACCAAAAATGCTGATTGGATCAGAGAACATTGTAATAGAATACTAAAAATTACAGGTGAAATAAGGCAGAAAAAGGAAGTGATCAAATAGAAAGAGGTCAGAGAGCAAAATGACATCCTTTCGAAATTGGAAAATAGAAATATCAAAAATAGATAAAATTAGAAGCTATCCATTCATGTTAAACAAAACTAATAAGAATTAGCATGAAAGGTTATGGAAGATAATATAATGGGAAAATTATTGATATAACTCCTGTTGTCTTGCCAATTATCGGGTTTGAATTCAATATATGTGACACTTGTAGAAGGATGGAGTGAAAAGAGATGCGAGATAGAGACGAGGAAGGGAAGGGATAAAAAGAAAAGAGAAGTGGATGTCAAGGTTATGCAAAAGCCTACAATGTCTTCTGATCTTGCCGCAAAAATATCGTCATTGAAGAATTAATGAGAAGGCGGAAATGGGAAAGAGATCAATTCGCATATGTTTGTATGAAATCCTAGACAAAAATTAACATCATTCTGAGAACTTTTTTTCAAATTCACTGAAATTGTTTGAAAAATCTAATTGTTTTTCTTTAATAGATTATTTTTCAAACAAAAATTTTTTTTTAAAAAATTGCTAAAGACGATTATGAATTTCTCGAAACTGTTAAACTGTTAATTTGATAAAATTGTCTGACAGTCAGGTTTAATGTAACAGATTTTCTTTGATCGCTGTGAATTTTTAGTTGGTTGAACAAAGAAAGTTGGAATGCTTGGAAATGAGAAATTGAATATAAAACATAAATTACATTAGCAAATAATTCGAAATCAAACTGTATTCTTCATTTGCTACGTATGTCAAAAATCGATTTCTTCGAAAACATTAAATAAGGAGTAATACAGATGGAGAATCAAAAATACTGAAAATCCATTCTGATCCATTAGTAAATGTTCGGATATCGAGTCAATCATTTCGGATATCATTCGAACTTCATCGTAAAAGACTAAAGTGTCATCATGGCCGTAATTTCTTCCACTAAAAAATATTTTATTAGACATGGGAAAAATCAAATAAAACGTAATTTCAACGAGGAAGAAAGGGAGGGAGGAAGGAAAAACTGGAAGAAGTAAATACAAATACTCCTTCCCTCCTCACCTCACCAGATGAAAACATCAAAGGAAATTGCCGCTCATTGGAGGCCAAATGAGTTTTCGTTGAAGAAAGAAGGTTATTTCTCCTACTAAAGATGACGAATTTGAACAAATAAAGGCATTCCTACCTTCCCTTTTAACCATTCAAGAATTCATCGAATAATGAAAATGAAAGGCGAAAATATTATGCTGAAATAAAAAGGAACTTTTTTGAGAGGGAGGGAGAAGGAATATTTCTTTTTTATATATATCAAAAACAAATTTAAAGCATCACTTAGCAAGATATGGTTCAGCATGTAAAGCCTAGACCAGGATTTCAGGACGTAATAGCATATTGTCTGTCAACAATTACGTGGCAAGTAATAATATATCTTTCTTGATATTATTAATTAAGATTTCTCCAACTTGTTATAAGACCGAATTTGGATGTTCTCAGTATAAGCAACATTGGAACCAAGTCGGTGACTACACAAAATAGTAAGGATAAAGGTCAACTTACACCAATTGCTTCATTCCATTAATCAAAGGATAATGAAATATAGCAAAAGGAGGGGGGCATTAATGATAAGTTTGGGAAATGGTAGCACTGATCTCAACTTGCAATGTGTGGAATGAAGTGAAAGTTAACACTCAGATGAAGAAGGAATTTCCGGGAAAGCGAGAGTATGTATTTCTCGGATGGATATGCTATTCATAAAGTTAGTTGAATTTTCCGGATCATGAACACAGCACCCGGAAATGATTGTCATAAATAAAATAATATTATTGCGACCTCTCTTTCACATGTTGAAATTAAATCACGCGCGCTTTAGACATTTATAGAATAAATACACGAATGCACCGTATTGTACATGCAAGTTATGTACGCAAAGAGAGACATGCATGCATGCATGTAAGTCACATGTACATAGAAAGGAGTGATATTCTTCTTACCATTAGGAAGGATAAAGCAAGAGGAATAGAAGAACACCATTGTGATGTTGCACTCGCCTAGAGAGGGAGAGAAAGAGAGAGGGAGAAAGAGAGATGGGGAAGATTGACCAGTCCTTCTTCGGGGTCACTGCTCTCAGAGTGACAATTGGAAAAGGACAGTGCCATTTGCAATCATTTACTCCATTTTTCAAATTTCGTACCATCATTATTTACCCAACAATTTGTTTTCTTTATTTGCTTGTTTGCATACTTATTTTTAACACATATTTGCATGCACCAATTGCACTTTACAAATGCGCTTTCGTCTATTTATCACTCACTTTTATTAGTAACGACTCAATTCACGTAAATCAATCATTTCATCCTTCCTTCTTCATCTCTTCCTTTCAACGTTTTCTTTTAGAGCAGCTGCAGTTCATGTACAGGTCACCCTAATCTTATTCGATCATTTTTCAACATTTATGGTTTACTATACCACTTACTGTTTATGCATGCATGTAAATTTTGCGAGAAATATTCAAAACGATGAAAACGAGCAGTTTTGTTGAAGATTCACACTCCAATGTATCTCACAAACTATTCAGGCAAACGTATTCAATTTTTGAAGATATGAAAGCCGACTAAAATTCCACTGAAAATACAAAATTCACTGAAACATGTCTTCACGTCTTTCTGATCACATCTTTCTGCAACACTTCGGAATCAAACTGAAGCTACAGATAATACCTGATGATCAGAGAGTAGAAAAAATGAAATTCCAGATGAAGCATATTCAGAATGATTTTATTAAATTTCAATCTGCCAGAAATTGAAATAACTAATAAAACATCTGGTAAAAGGGGACAATAAATAATTGGAGTATAAAAATCCTGCACAATGAAACTTGTTCGAGAAATTGAAAAATGGATGAATGGGAAGATTCAAATTTCTTTAGTTGAGCTTGTATATATATGTACAAGAGAAAATAATGTTGACAGAAGCATTCCTAATCGATCGACAAATAATTATGTAAAAAGGCGAAAGTAACAGAAAGCATTTTTAGGTATGAAATATTATTGCAAGCAAACTCCGTCGAGTTTATACATCTTGTGTGAATGGCAAAATGCTTCCATCCAAATGGCAGCCATCACCCGTTGATTATATTATCTATTTCTTCCGATAAAAAAAATCACTTGGCTAGGCGAAATGATTATAACTTCATAAGCAACCTCTCTTACAGAAGGAGAAAAAAAGAAGAAAGCAATGCAGAATCATCGATTCATTCATTGCTAACAAAAAAAACAAAGAAAAAAGAACAGTGACAAAATGTGAAATAAAATTATATACTTTAAAATATTCATCAATTGTTCACTCATTCATTCTTCCATCCATTTTTAAGAATTTTCTTTGAATGAAAATTTTCTCAAATTTCAGTTTTGTTGGAATTAGTGATGGATCATTACTTTTATTGCTTTCAAAATATTTTTCCTTTGTGTGACTTTTTTTCCTTTTTTTCCAGTGCCTCTAAAAAGAAATGAAGAAAAGAGAAGAAAAAGGAGGCATCAATGATTAGTGTGACTGAATTATTTCTTTCCACCGATACCGCTCAGAGCGGAATTGAAAGGATCAGAAGTCCATTAGTAAGGTGGCTGAATGAGTCTTTTTCGATTTTTGATTAAAAAATAAAATAAACTTTGTAGGATGTATTCTCTTCTTCAAATAACTTTTTTTTTTCTTTTATATCTCTGTTCATTTGGTTCTTTCTTCTCTGATTGATGAGAAGGACAACAGTTTTAAAACTTGTATTTGAGTGAAAAAAATCACTACTCTTTAAGGATCAATTGTAAAAGCATTGAGATGCGCTAATGGAGTTGTAGAAAAAAATACGAAAAATTCTGAAGAATAGATTCATAAAAACCAAACAAAATATGCACGAATTTATTCGTGCATATTTTGTTTAACCGTATGAAAGATTTAAAATATAAATTGAAAAATTTTAAAAACTGGTCGTTCAGACAAAAAAGGTAGTGAAAAATAATTTAATCTTCGATGATAACAAAAAGGAACGTGAACATTTAAAATTTCCAAAAATTGTCCTATTTCATGTAATGCAAATGATAAACTCATCCAAAAACTACTTACAGTAAAATTGATAGAAAATAAAAAGTTGAAAAGCCGGCAATGAAATGCATA